TATGAATATATTATGGGATTTGAATGGAAAATGGACATCCATCATAAAAAATTGAAAACAACGTATTTCATGTACTATCGTCACCAAAAGTAACTGGGACAGCATCACATTAGCTCTTGTCCTATTATATGAATTTTATTGTCAAACTATGAATTAAATGCATTGAAATGAATGACAGTAGAATTAGTCCAGGAGATTTATTATGCATTATTTGTGTCCCAGATACTTTTGGTGACGATGGTACATAGGTAATATTAGTCCTCAAGTAGGTACGTTACGTTGTTTTCAATTTTTCATGATGGATGTCCATTTATAAATCATATGTATTCATATTTAAAATTAGCCACAAAATGGCGGCGTTATAGCGAAAGCCACCTGTCGGCGACTATGTGAATCACTGAGTTTGACAGGGAATAGGGAATAGTTTGGAGCTGGAACAGGATGGGAACAGGTATTTGTAATAGTTTGTTTTGGGAGCAGGTACAGGTCGTAATAGGTACAAGAAAAAGCTATTCCATAACATCTCCAGGGACGGTTAGTCGCCAACAAGCCCGCCGAAGGCGAGAATTTTTTGAGAGTTACGCCCCTCTTTTTCCAGCCTATCAACGGTATTCGATAACAATATTTAGTCAAAAATATCAATATTTTTCCGCTAACAAATCCTTCCAACAAAAAATAAATTTCTCATTTATTACAGTATTACACAAACATGGACCGACAATTTTTGGTAGAAATCAGGCAATTTTTTAGGTAACCTAAATAATTTCCGAATCTCTGTATGTTAGCAGGTTTGCTGAACGAAATCAAATGCTGGACAAACTTTCAAATTGCTGTAGAATGTACAATATTGCACGAATTCTATGATATTAAAAGAAGTTTCATATAGGATTAAGTTTATTCTACGTTTCATTTTGAGAAATTGAAAAGTGCCAATTTTCAGGTTCGGTGACTTATTTTTTGCGAGGCCCCTTAGGGCGCGAGGCCGTCGGCGGTCGCCGATATCGCCGACGCCTAGCTACGCCACTGCTTATACCACGCAAGGTAGACAAGATGTAACGCGGAATATGGCGGAGGTTGCGCTTTCTTCTGGAAAGAAAAAAATAAAATGAACTCTTGCTTTACAGAACTCACTCTTTGATCATTTCGGAGAGCTCTCTTCTGGAATATGTGGAGTGATGAATCCTCTTCGTCTCAATATTGTAAACAACAAAAGCGAAGAATCACTATCAATCATTCCTCGATCGGAGAAAGTTATTTTGCTATGTCGGAGGATTCTGCCCTCCGGAGGGCAAGCACCATTGGCAAGGAGCCATAGGCAATAGTCACCAAATATTTGAAGCAAGATCTCGTCATCACAGATAGTAGGTACTCTTTTTCATCCAGAATAATAAGCTGAAAACAACGTGGTATCGTACCAAACATCGACTATGGTATAACATAACGTGAGAGTGACTGGAATGGTCTGGAGGTATGATCTTTGCTGCTAGGCGACCTCCAAATTATATATTTATGGGTTGTGATTGGACAGTTGCAAAAGACACAGTTCTGGCAATAGAAACATTTAGATTTGTGGCCACCGCTCTCACGCAGTAACATCCATTGCCAAGTTTCTTGTGAAGGGGGATGATGTGTGATTGAAATTAAAGGCCAACTTACTAAAAAACTTAGTACATGGAGAAGATTTTGAATTAAAATGCTCCACAGTCAATGTCTCCAATATTGTACCGTAAACCAAGTACTTTCTTAGTAAAGTGCCTCCATTTTGAAAGGATAATATTATCTTTATTGTCTCTACAAGCACTATCAAAACGCTGGAAACAACAAAAAAGCCACAAGGCATGTTAAATATTGAGCGACTTGAAGGTGAAGACACAAAAACAAACTTCCAGCTTTTATTATATTATATATTAGATTAAACAGCACTAGCCATATGCTAACAGTCTGTCATGAATCAACGAGCTTCCTCACAAAAAAAACATCCTATCTTGAACTGAAGGCCTGAGTACAAAGCAGAACAAGAATGCTGAATAACAAACTAGAAGTGGGATTTATTTTCTCCAAGGTAAAAGAAGCAGCGGGCAAAGTAGTTTGTAGTTTTACCTCCCCTTCAAAATACCAAGAAAAATACGAGGACTACGATTGGTGTGTCGAAAACAACCTTGTGAACAAACAATAAGAAAACGTATTTCTGCACTAATCAAAACGAAAAAAGGGCCACTTCTGAATATGAGTATTTTATCTTTTTATTTGAAGATAGATCTGTTCCGACACGTCAAAAACCGCCCCATGAACGGTTTGGAAACCACTCTGTATACGAATTTATTGTACGGTTTCCTGCTGTTGGAACAAAGCGAGGAATAAAGCTTATGTGAGAGCAAATTTACAAACTTGTAATTTTTTATCGAATAAGTGAACAAACCGTCACAAAGCAACCTTTTTGGTTTCATATGGAACTGCGTGTCTGCTGGAAAAACAGACGTTTTTCTCTTTAATGCAATACAGAAATTAGATTAAATTACTGAAGGTGACTCCTTTTTCGTTTTGATCACTGCGTATAAAATTTGATAAAGACACTATCTCAATTTAAAAAAAAAATTAATAGGATGATAAACAGTTTCAATCTTATTCAGAACGAAAATATGGATAACTAATGAAAACTAGGGATATCGGGACAAAACCTTGCTATCAATCCCTCAGTATCTCTTCTTGGGGTAACCGCATCGACCAACTTGTCTCTTGTATCTTCGATTGCCAAAATCGCTTGTCAATAATTATGTTTCCTGTTTCGGACAAAAAACTTCTTTACTTCTGAACAACTTCTTCTCCTTCATAAGACTCAAATCAGACCAAGTATGGAATACGGTCCCACATCTGGGTCCTTATTCTTGAAACAGGGGAGCAGCATTCCCAGGAGAATGAGTGTTCCGTCTCTATTACTTATCATTTGCATATCATTAGGAAAGAAGGAACACTACTGCTCCCTTTTTCTTCTCCCATAAGGTTATGCCAGGAAATATAACCACGTGATGCGGTGTTGTCATGATGCAAACGTGCAAAAAAATGGGAAAATGCGGAAAAAGAAGAATGTTACCCACCCACACCATACCCTTATTAAATTGGATTTGTGGTAATTTGTATTCATTTAATTTATGTATAAGAATCCGAAACAGATTTCAGGGCTGACGCCTAACAAACTGCTTCCTTTCAAAGTTATTCTCCAAATCCAACTCGCCTCCTCAAGGTCGCGACAGAAAATAAAATAAAGCTAAATCAAAACAAACGGGTGAAATGGTCAAACAAAACAGCGACAAAACTCAGCAATTTGATGTTAATCTTCAAAATGGGCTTTGTATATGTTTTAAACACGATTCTCTCGACTATTTCACGGTTCGCTTGATAAAAGGCAATAGAAACACGTACTTTCTAGATCCGTGGAATGCGATCTTTCCCTAATTACTAGAATACGGCCTATTCAAATCTCAAAAGAATCGGTCGTTTCCTTCTCTCAAGAGAATACGGTTCCTGAGACTGATACTCCCAAGCATTCTGTTAGGAACCCGGAGTTTTCCGCTGGCTCCAATGTAGAAATCTCGGATTATTTCTAGGCTTTGTAACTAATATCCGGTATAAAGTAAAAGTAAAACTCGATATAACTTGAAAGTGTAGTTTATTTCAACTCTGTACGAAACTAATTTTACAAAGCGACTATTGCAACCCGACTGTTCGCTATCGATGTTAAAATGCGACTCCTTAACTCTACTTCTAAAAAATAAAAGTAACCTAAAGGACAAGGGCAATAATAAAATTACGGAAAAGTATTGTGTCTTTGGCGGCAAGAACACCCTGCATGGGTTATATTTATTTATATGTCATTTACAATAATTTGGGTTCCTGCAATAGAGGTACCGGGTACCGACAAATGGAAACATCTTGTTGGGATATTGATGTTTACAGGACATTGGTTGTAAAAATAATTCCAGCTGGCACATCTTCAAAACCTAAATAATCAATGAGTTATAAAGTACCTAATTGATGAGGGACTAAACCAAATAGATGGTGGAATTTGTTAAAGAGAGGAAAGTGATGAACATAATTGTTATTAATATTAAAATGATACAGAACAACGAAGAGCAATAAAAATTATCGATAATACTACGCAGGGTGGCCGACTTGTCGTTATTCTACTGCTCTTACCATGGGAAATGTTCTGACAATCTGGTCAGCCCCATTCCAGCTGGTCGAAGTTATTTAAGGACCAAAAGAACCTCACTGGGATCCCATCCGTATATGTGGTAAAGTTGGCTACCCCGAGAACCTCTAAATATAGGGCTCCTCACATCCTACTTAAGTACCTATCTGAAAAATTTAACCCCAACGTGTTCAAACGGAAATCGCGACTTAATTTCTTCCGCTCTTTGTCTTTTTTTGTGCGGACCATTTAGCTTAATAAAATGGCACTTTCCCGAACCCTGGTATAATTTTGATCCATTATGCTACACTTACTTACGTATTGAGTTTATTCTACGCGTATCAAACTATAATACATATTATCGTACCTCCAAATATTACGGAGAGAAAGCATTTGGTCGTATCGATCAAACATATTCATTTTTTTTTTATAATTTCGACTAAAATAAAACAAATTATTCAATAGTCCGCCGCGTGAGGGAAAGAATGTCTTTATGCACCTGTTAGGATAATAATTACACCAGCACAAATACAATCACAAAAATCTGTGTCGATTTTCCGGTGCACATAGTTACATTTTCGCATCTAATTCTACGTAAGACCCTTTCATTTAGAAAACTCTTTTTCCTTATTAAAAAAATGAATGGTGTGATGAGTTCATTACCCTATTGCACCAAAATAAGTGTCGTAATAGCCTCATATTCTATAGTAAATATATAATCTCATTATTATTATCAGTCACATTTTATTCAATACATATTTGTAAACATAATAATACAGTACAATCGCTTAAACCAAAACTAGGAAAGCTTTCGGGACTTATTGACACGACTGATAGCTAACAACAAACAGTAACTTCTGACATTGATAAGAAGAAATATAAATACGCATTTGTTGATTGGCTTTTGAGTAATATTTATTGAATTTAGTTGTAAAGACATTGCTAAAATGAAAGCGTTTATTGTTCTGTTAGTTTTGGGTCTTGCCGCAACATCTTTGGTAAACGATCAAACTTCAATTTTGATTTGTTTGTTTTTTTTAACTGCGTATCGTTTATTTTAAGGCCAGACCAGAACTCAACTTCTCTGAGGTTAAAGAAAGCATTAAAAAAATCAAAGAAGCTCGTAAAAAATGTCAATCCAACCCTGCTACAGCTCTCGATGAAAGTACCCTAAAAAACTTAGCTAGAGGTGGTGTTCCACCAGCTAATGCTGGAGCTTATGCTCTTTGTATTTCCAAAGTAAGTACTCTTTCATTATTAAAATAATATTTTTTGCATATAATTTTCGAAAATGCCAATGAAATAGTCAAAAAATTAGGAATATTTTGTATTAGACTCTTAATTGGCAAAACGCAGATGGGTCCGTGAATACAGCAGTCATCCAAAGCAGAGGTCAGGCAATTTTCGGCAACAAACCCGAACTCCAAGCCATCATTGACGAATGTGCGGTAGCACAAGAGAATCCCGAAGCTACAGCTATACATCTTTTCAAATGCTACAGGAAATACTCTCCTCACCATGATGAGCATGAGCACCGGGTAAGAATTTCTATCTAATACTCTCATATTACCTACCTACGTTTAACAATTATCGTCTTACGAAGTTTTTGGAAAAAAAGGGCTATTTGTTTGGTTGAATACTTATTCTTAAAAGAGTGCAAAATAAAAAGTCTTTTCTTGAATATGATCAAAAAGACCTTCACTTGTTGCACATTATCGGCTCCAAGTCTTGATTTTGATTTCCCGGTAGTGAAACCGGTCACAAATCATGGTCAAGGACTAAGGACTATACCTCCACAAAAGTGGACTAAAATCAGAAAATACATTCAACACAAAAGGTATACAGTACTGCTAAGCATATTTTCGTACACACCTGTTGCTAGTAACAAAACAATAGCGAGTGCGGGAAATTTCTTCCCGCAAGAGTTAGGAACTATATTTTTTCTACGAGCATACTAAAGCTGATGTTACGAAGAGTTTAAATTAAATAAAATGCGATTATGCAGAAGGTAGAATTAAAAATGTATTGAAAGGTATTTATAAAAAGGTAAAGGTACAGGTATAGGTGTATCAACAATACAAACAATTCCATGTCACAATTATTATTTCAAACTCTTCCCGCACTGAGTGCGGGAAGAAATCTCTTCCCGCACCGGTGCGGGAAAAAAGTCTTCCCGCACAGCAAATCGTGCGGGAAGAGCCATTTCCCGCACGCTCGTAGGAAAAAAATATTATGCAATAAAATCTACACTCAAAGTCCATGATTTGAATCAACAATGAATCTTGGCAATTGCAATTTTATTATAGGCTCTACTTTTTGTGTTTCTTTTTGGTACCTATCATGTTGTGAATATGTGGGCCCAAGTAAGAGAAAGTAGATTTAAAAATTTCGTACTTTGTAATGGTATTTCTTGACTGTCTACATTCCTTGTTTACGTGGTATGAATGTCACCAAGCCTGACCAATAGTTCGAAGAGATATTCTGGGCAATGGTTTTTAATAATGTTTTGTCTCAAAACAGCAAAATGTAAAAATCTTCCTTCTTTTATCTTGAGTATTTCACTGTTAATAATGTGAGGAGTAACATGTTCTCGTCTATTTAGGTTAAATCTATATCGTACACAATGGTTCTGAATCTTTTGTGGTCTATATATTTTTGTTATGTTCTGTTAGAAAGGGTTCATAAACACTGCATAATTGAAGTTGCCCAGACTAGCGACTCTATCAACATGATTTTGGTATTAGTAGGAAGAAAATGTTTAAATTCATACAACTTCTTTAAAGCAAAATATGCTTTCTGACAAATGGCACTTACATGCCCTGTAGAAGATAACGCAGGATCCAGCAACAGACCTAAACTCTTTACTTACCTCTCCCATTCAATTATTATGCTCCAAGACCTGCTCGCAGCTCAAATCTTTTGCATCTATATTCCTTCGAAACAAAATAGCCCTAGCTTTTGATGAACTTACAACTGATCCATCCTTCTGTGCCCAATCAGTAACCTTAATAAGCTCCTGACTAATTTCAACAAACGATATTCTTGAATGTTATCACAATAGGCATGCAAAGAACTATTTCGCATAACACTTGTCAAGTTAATTATATAAATGAGATACAACAGTGGGCCAAGAATGGACTCTTGAGGTACCCCAGATCGTATCTGTCTTCTGAGAGCTTAGTAATACCTAAGATGTTGATTCGCGTCAGCTGGTTATGCCTATATAGATAATTACGAAACCATGAGAGGTAAATATGATCAAAGTTTAAATAATTGAGCTTAGTTGAGGGAAGTTCGTGATTTGAATCGGAAGCCCTTGTCATGTTCAGTAAAATTATGGCTGTCCACTGACTCTTGTCAAAAGCTTTAACAATATCATTGACTATTTTGAGTAGAGCAGTAGTGCAGCTATGATTTGGGCGAAATTCTGACTGAAATGGCGGTAAAGTGTCAGTTAATTTCACATACTCATTGATCTGTTTATGAGTCTCCAAAATCTTTGAAGCAGTTGGCAGTATACTGATAGCCCTAAGATCTGTGATTGTTGGATTTGGTTTTTTGAAGTAAGGTGTGTTTTGAGGCATGCTTCTCGAACAATTCTATGACAACGCTATTAAAAAACGACAGTATAAAATTGTTATCACAAGAAGGACTAAAATCTATACTGCCAAGATCACTACGAAAGGCATCCCTATCAATATGCCTGAAACACAGCATAGTCTGCCATATTGGTAATTATTACAGGATATTATGACAAAAACTGCTTCATGATAAATCTTAAAAATCTTTTGTCGTGGAAACGACCAATTACGTTTTGACCACCTTACCACCTGATTTCTTTCAGGCTCGCATCAGTAAACCATTTTTGAATAACAGTGAGCCTTGAACGCTCAAGTTCTATATAGGTAAAGTTTCATACCAAGACGGTCTGGATTTGCCGGTTTCCTTTAGGTTCAAAAATGATTTCATGTCACTAACTTCTAGGCTATTGTAAATTCCATCCTTGATCCGTTTTAAATCGGGGATTTTCAACAGGAAATCCTTCACGCTAATCAACTCTGAGGCTGAACTTGCATTGAATTGGGCATGGTCGCCTAGATAAGAATCTGCGTTGCCGAGCAGTTTACCAGAACGCTATTTGATTTGAAAATTGTACTGTTGCAACTGCTCTGTCTATTTTTATACCTGTATTTCTGGTTGTTTCATGTTTAGGAGCCATTTAAGCGCTACATGGTCTCTCTGTTGTTCATATAAGTACTTCTGCAAATGCTGTGCCGCTCTGACTATTCCTAATTGTTTTTTTTTTGGTAACGCAGTGATTTCTCACGGGCTCATATGTCAGTTTATCTCAGTCTGCATTTTCTTCAATGTTCCTTTATTCTGGATCTCATGAAGAAATTATTCGTCGTCCCTATGTGTGCACCCTGTGTCCAGCAGCTGACAGTGGATGCCTCTTGTTTTTGCTTGATCTGAAGGATGGTTATAAGTTTCTTGTTGGTTTGAAGTTGGTCTTTATATTGTGTTTTCGTGATTTTTTCCTGTCCTTTTTTCGTTAGTCAACCAAGAGATGGATGACAGAAATGCGCTGGACATTCCTCATCATCTGAATCTTGACGTCAAGAAGACTTGGGTCTAATAGCCTCATCACTCTCAGATTCACTGTATCTATTAGTTTGCAAAGCTGTCTTTCAGATGTGGTGACACAGATTCTCCGAATACGTTGTGTAATATTGTTATAATTCCACGCTTTTGACAAGGGTGTTGGTTGGAAAATGAATCCAAAGTCATATCTGTGCGTGTGGGATCACGATACACTGATGAGTGGCCAGTTCTCCTTATCAGAACATCAACAAATACTATTTATTGGTCGCATAATGCTTTTATCTTGAATTTGAAATTTTTCTCTTCCATGATTCCAAAATCGAAGGTCTCATCAACGTATCGGAGCCATATAGCCGGTTTCAGGTCGAAACACTCGATTGATTTCTTTTGGAAATTCTATACTCTACATGTATACTGGGCTAAATAGGCGACCCATAGCTACACCATCTGCTTGTTCGTAAAAGTCACCATTTAACAGAAAGCCACCTCCTATTAGACAAGTCCGTAAGATCTTGACTACCTACATCATCTGGAAAGATTTTGGTTATCAAATCCAGAGATTCCATCAGCAGGATTTGGGTAGACAATGGACACGATGTCAATACTGACCAGAAGATCTTCAGGTGGGAGAATTAAATCATACATTTTCTCGGTAATGTGAGACGAATCCTTGATGTAGGAATCAATCTTCCTTACATGAGGTCGAAGCAGCGATGCAAGATATTTTGCTAAATTATTATGTAGGAGACCCTGTTGCACTTACTATTTTTAATAGCCCTTAGGGCAGTGGTGGTACGGTTTTGACGATATTTTTCTGACCCGTATCTTATAAGATGGATGACTTGACCAATTTGTTGTTTTTCCGTAGTTCTGCTTGCGTAGGAACACTTTGTAGTTTTCGGTAACTTGATGGATCGAGTAGTTCTTGAATTTTTTGTTTTCATTGAGTAGGTGAGCATTATCCTTGTCAACTGGTAGAAGAAAGGTCACTGGTGTGGTCTAGCCTTTCATAGAATGTTTCCTAGCTGAATCTGGATCTCTTTCGCTTCGTTCACCTGATCGCTGCCCCTGGCTGTGGTTTCTTTCACACAGAAACATGTAGAGTTATTGCAAAGTTGCCGCCTTTCGTCAAAACTGCTGTTTCTTTCTGTGTAAGGGTTCTTGATGGTGAGATGAGGACACAAACATCGAAATGTTTTATCTCTAATATTCCTTTACGTTTGGTTCTTTCTCTAAATATGAGAATCTTGTCATTTTTCCACTCACACATGGCTCATAAAACTCTACATCCTGTACTTTAATATTCTCTAACCCTTCAACCATTCTCTTTTCAATTATTTCTCTTAATCCTGAAAATCCTATGCCTATATCGCTTGTGTCGTTTTACATAATCATTTTCGCTACTTTCAACATTCATGCATTCAAAACAAAAAAAAACTCAATTTTATACAAATTCTGTCGTTTGCCTATTCCTACTACTTACTTGCCCATTCTTACCCACTATATTCTATGTTACTATCTTCACTGTGGAATTTTCAAATATTATTCTCATGTCTGACATTTCTAGTTTCTTAACACTGCTCAAATTAGGTACCGGCAAAACGTTTCTAATTATACAATCAACTTTCTCATGCCCTACATTACTTACTGCTTTGATGTTTCCAACTCCCATGACCAATAAAAAAGACATTGTCCTCAACAACAGCAACTGAAATTGGATCTTTCAACATAACTAAACTCGAAAAAACTTCCCTCTGATTGACCATGTGATCGGTACACCCAGAATCAATAAAAAACTGCAATCCTTTCACATTTCTTGGTATTTCTCCTATTTGTTTTTCTCCAAGAAAACAAATGTTTCTGTTCATCTGATCTATCTGTGAACCTTGATGTGAAATCTTATCTTCTGCCAAGTTAGTTCCACTATTTTGAAATCCATCTTTTGTCGTCCCCCTCTTGAACTGAAACTTCTTACATTAAAATTTCCTCCTGCATTAAAACCTCCTCTTGCATTGTAATCTCCTATTGCATTGTAACCTCCTCTTGCATTTAAACTCCAATTTTGATAACAATGATAACCTCTTCGTATAAGACCTCTACTACGTAATTATTGCTTCTTGGTGCATTGTAAGTACTACCTAATCCACTGTATTGACTGTTCTACCAATTATTTGGTGCACAAAAACGCCTTATGTGATTGGTTAAGCAACATCCAGAAAATGTTTTGTCAATAAATTTTTGTGTCACAAAGGCTGTTTTCAGCATTCCTATGAAATAACATCTTCTATTCACATTCTGCCAATAGCTTATTCTTCGCATCTTCATATTTAACATCAGTTGTGCATAGTCTCATCAGACTTTGGTAAAGTTAACAACAGATTACATAGGTACCTACTTTGTCTTCATCCTTTACTTCGCAACCTGATGCAATCAATTGCCTCACAATATCCTCAAATTATATAATATGTTTCTCAGGTGACTCTCCCTCTTTCAATTTCAATGATAATAACTTCCGTTTCAAAAACATTTGTCTTTCTTCTCATATCGATCTTTCAAAGCTGTCCACATCTGGCATGCGTTATTTTTATCGCAAATTATATCCAGTTGCATGAGCATCATCCAAACACTGGACCACTATAGACTGGTATTGCTGGTCTTGTTCCTTATATTTTTCTTTTTCTCTATTATCTTTGTATCTACTATCATTTTATTCATATTCATTCCATTTTGCCACTTCTTTTTCCTCTAGTAACACTTGTAATCTAAATTTCCAGGCAGCAATTACCATTTAGTAATTCGATATTGTAATTATTGTTCTTTGCTGCAGACATTTTTTTTTTTCTAATTTTTTTCTCGCTCAACTTCTACCTACAACTTTTGAATTGACTTTCTATTCAATTTCCTGCCCTGGAAACTGCCCAGGGCCCCATAATCTCTTGTATTCTGTTTCTCAAATAGGAATTAAACTACTTAGCTTTTTTAAATATCCTTTTACTATAACAAAAATAAAGCAACCCTTCCAAGAGCACTTCTCTGCACACTTCTTCAAAATTCACTTCGAAGACTGGGTATCGGTATTATCATTATTTTGATGGAAAGTGATTAACACTGCGCTTTTATAGTTACATTATGCCGAAGTAGCCAAAAGCGTGAAGAAAATCAAGGACTCTCATGAAAAATGCCAAGCCAACAGCGCCACAGCCCTTGAAGATGGTGCGCTCAAGCAAGTACTGAAGGGTGGTGAAGCTCCAGCCAACTTTGGCGCGTATTCTCTTTGCGTCTCCAAGGTAAATTTATGCCCAGTGCCCATCGTATGGGGCGGACCACACTCGATAATAATCTGTATCAGGATCTTTGTTTTTATTTTCCCTAATTCTTATGGATTAGCATTTAAGTAGTTATGAACACCCTTAGAAAACCGATTCCTGTTGGTATGATGGAAGTATTCAAACTTTTTGTCAATTGTGGTCGACCCAATTCGACGGACAGATGCACTTATTAATACCATTTTTTTTTTTATGTAGGCTCTAGAATGGCAAAATGAAGACGGCTCTATCAACAGAGCTTACCTTGAAGAGAGGGGTCAAGCACTTTCTGAAGGAAACGATACCACCTACAAAGCTATCCTTGACGAATGCGCTGTAGCCCAAGCAAATCCCGAAGCTACTGCTGTGCATTTGTTTAAATGCTACAGGAAATACGCTTCCCATCACATAGGATAATAAACAGGATCAAAAATGTGATACTTAGTTTAAACAGAGAAACTTCAAATATTTTTTTCGAATAATGAATCAATCAATTTGTCAATGTATGTTTTAATTTTTCTTTTCATCCTTCTCTTCTCGAATTTAAAAACTGTCTTACCGACCCAGCAGTTTTAAATTCGGCTTTCATTTCTTAGGTAGGCATAGTGAAGGAAGATTGAAATATAACCGCCCAACTTTGAAACTTTGGACAATGCTCCTATATAATCGCAAAATCAAACAGTCATTTTTCAAATGTTTTGACTTGTCATTGTTAGCTCCGCTAAAGTTTCGCGGTATAAAATTCAAATTAAACATACACAACTGTAAATCTGACCGGAGTACTTTTTCGCGCATGCGCATTACTACGCGGAGACTAAGTTTGAGTACTCGCGGCCCAAGATAAATAACTATCGCAAGCGTTTCCAAAAACCAAGAACTATTTTCCGTCTATTTTACCGTCAAAAGTGATTTCGTGTCAAGAACTACCAATAGAATGAACATCTAGAATTAACAGAACGAATGGTGAAGATTTGTGGCAACCAGGGCCCTGGATAAGAGAAGAAAACCCCATCTTCATACTCTCAAGGAAATCACAGTCGTATTTTTACCCAATGGAATTATTCTTATCGTCTTTTTATGTAGCTCGCAAAGCGCAAATCCAGCAATAAAATTAAGTCCATTTGCTTCAGCTATTATTTCAAGTGTGGGTTAACAGTCCTGCCATTTCACTCCAGATTCAATCTAGTATCTAGTCCACCTTATCATTTTATGATGAGCCACATGGCTCAGGTCCCCTTGAGATAAGACCTCTGAAAACCATTGCTAACACGAGTATGCCTAATTTTTTCACATGGGTCTTTGTGACTCGATCTCATGGCACGTCAACGTTCCATAGGTACCTACATCTTTGGGCATACTCTTATTCTGTCTGCATATTCTTTGTCAAGGCTGAGAAGTCGCGAAATCCAACTTCCGATTACTTTCCGTTTGCGACAAAGAGGAACCTTTTCTTTAAGTATATATCTGAGTTACTGACACCGTTACCAAACCTTCAGTCACTTAAGAAAATGAAGTTATAAATGTGAATAATTGATCAAATATCCGTAGCTAGATTGGATTTGTTTGTTAATAGTTTTTTTGTATTTTTTGTACCTGATTGTACAACTAGACACTGGATCAAAAGGAAGAAAAATAAACCAAGTCGAAAGTGTGTAAAGAATTGGAAACAGTAAATTATATCATCGGTAGGCAACAAATTTTCCAGCCAGCCGCAGACAGGCATATAATTGAATGAGCCTCGCCGGGGCATCCCCAATAAGAATATTGTGTTGGGACGAAGGGAATTTTGGCAGTTTATTTTCCGATGTAGCGGAATCGATGCTCCCTGGATCCCATTGGCTTGAGCCAAATAGTCGATATTAAAAAAAAATTCTGTTTTTGGAATTCTGGACAAAGGGAGTTGAAAAATATTAGTCTGATAAAAAAAAAAAAAACAATATTTCTTTCCAGAGTATAATCAAAAAACATACACATGTAAGCTGACCTGGGGATAACGCAATATCGGCATAAAGTACGGCAGTTAGATACATCTGGCGTGCGGTTATCATTCAGACCATGTAGATGTCATTCGGCCGCTGGGGACGTGACCATTAAATAAGCATCCTTGGCCAGAAAGACATAAATTCAATTTAGGATTATTTTTACAGTTTAATTTTGAAATTCCAGTAACAGTTTTTTAATATAAATACGTAGAGACGCTTATCACATTACCTGTGATATAATAAATAATTCTTCATTAGTGATGGATTTCAGATTTTAGAAGATTTCATCAGTTGTCTATATATTTTTTTTTTCGGTATTTCAGTTATACGATGTCTATTGAGTCAAAGCGTCAGTGGTCTCTAATGCAAGTAACTTGAGGCCCTTCACTGCGACTCATTGATCTATTGTGGCTCAAGCCCATCCATATTTTTCCAATCATCAATAATGACTTGTTTTCCAATAGAACCCAGGATAGTAACAATTGGAAAGATATGGTTTAGGTCTCCCTTTGCAGAGATCGAGAAGCGCTCTTACTATACCTAGAGGATATTCTTCTGCGCCGGTTTCGTTCTGGGACATCTGGAGCCAAAACTTGTAATGATAAAATATTTTAAGCTTTTTCTGATAAGTAGGCATGATATTGGATTTATTGCAATGCATATCAGAGGTGTTATCCAGTCCAGATATTCGGCCTGGGAGATACGACTCTGAGACGTGAGGTTTGATGAGATCCTTTAATCTCACCGCTCTATATCTACAGATGCTTAGTTGTATCCTCCAGGTCCCCCTAGCCACAGGTCGATTATAGCAGCTCTGGAATCTAATTTGCGGATCGTCTTCGTTTATTTATATTGTTTGTCGATTTTTAACTGATACTTGCGGTATGAGGTGCGAGAGGGTGTTTCATATGGCAAAAACAGGTGTGACGTCAGGTAACCATTGGCATTCTAATGTAGGGAGCCACCAGCTCACATTCCGTCCGAGTATCAGATTAAAATCGACGAACAATAGTTGTAGGGCAGTCAGGTGTATCCTCGTGACTTTTTTCGCTCCCAAGCTTTCCTTGCACGCTGCTCGGGAGTGTTGATTCCTCTTTTACTCCGATTTTTCCGCTGGCCATGTCAATCAGAGTGCCTGGAAGGATGGGATGATTATTCCACCCCTCGCTTATGTCCATGACTCTCTCGCCATTCTCTTCAAGGTGGTTTGTTCCAGGAAGTAGATTTCAGTTTCTCGCCCTTCTGTTGGAAACTCCGTTGTCGACACCTGATTTGGGCTCAACTGCCATTCAATCTCTCTGCATGGTTCGCATACCACCTTGATCTTGATGGCGTTTCTCTTAGTATAGCTTGACTTCTCCTCCAAAGCTTGTTTGATATCGGTATCCCTAGCAAAAGCAAGTTGCCGCCAATATAGCTTTTGAGTTCATATAAAAGCGCACAAGGCTCACCAGTTCAACAAACCGTAGACACATCCGGAGAAACTGTTCGATCATCGAATCCTGCAACTTACTGTCCGATTCACAACTAATTCGCACTGACTTGGAGGCGTCGATCCCCTTGACACTTTTAATTTGAGAGGTTGGTCAACCCTGGGGACTTCCGTGTAGTGTTGTTTGAGTACTTCCAATTTTATCCAACTCAGGGATAACGCTCGGGATAACGTTACTTTACAACGCCACACGTATTATGATCTAAAACGCAACCAATACTCTATTTTCTGCATATGTAGAATTTGCCTTGCTATTTCTGTATATTCAATCAGCAATCATCTACAATAATTTTCTTGCAATTATTAGGAGTAGGTACATACAAATTTTTTGAACAACAGTATTTATTAGGAAAAACTCCAATTTTCGAACTGTTAATTGCACAGTATAGATAGGTACAAAATACTCACAATATTTTTATTTTATTTGTTCAAATAAGCACAACTCAAGAATGCAATTAAAATTTTGAAATTCCACTTCACTAGATTAATAGGCGTGATTGAAGCCTACTTGGAAATTAAATCTATAATTTTTTAATGGCGTGTTGCAGTGTTGCAACATTAAATGGCATTGATTCACCTAGGAATTTTACTAATAATAATTTAGGTTTATGAAAACGAGGACTCAGCCGATCGACGTAGAGATCTAGTCGATCCTGAGAAATCTAGTGAACAACTTGGATCCTGAACCATTCTGTGCTAATTCCCTTGAAATTGTAACTTTTACACCCGAGAACTTGGAGACTGTACTCAAATCACTGAAGCCAGATTCTAGTTCAGGAGAGGATTGACCTGTCTCGCCTAAATAGAAAAAGATAGCTTAATTGTATTAAATGCAAGTTGGAAAGTAATAAAAGATGACATGCGTGCGCAACTAGTGGGTTGAAGTGTAGCCAGTTTATATTGTTGCAGAACAAATGTAGACAAAACAAATCGAACATTATATCATTGAGCTTTAAAGTATATGTTAACCTCGTTTGCACTTTTATTCTGATAAATGTTCCATCCGGCAACATCGCACAATGAAAGTGCAAAGGAATAATATGTCAAGTATAATTTAACATAACCTCTAACAACACTGTATCTGAGATAACTGGGCTGGGACTCTGTAACGAATAGAGATATTCTTTTCTCAATCTCTATTGACATCCCTTCTCTATTGATTTCGAAAAGACAGAAGAAGACAGCAAATGCCATAGCGATAAGGATCTCTATCCGTTACAGAGTCCCAGCCCTGGATCTTTGTTCGGAAATGGGATTATCCCAACTTCCTAACACGGGTTCCTTCCTGGAAAATCCACTTTCACAAACCTGCTTACTAAAGTTCACGACTGGACAAGAGCAGATGACTCTGGCCAGTCTGTTGATGTATTTTTCCTAGATTTTGAAAAGGCTTTTGACAAGGTACCATTTGGGCGGCGTCTTCATGGTAGAAGAGGACTTCTACTCAAACTAATCCAAGATTTTCTGCAGGATTGCCAGTTCTTTGTCAGGATAGGGTCCATGAAGTCAAATTCCTGTGAAATTTTTGGTAGTATTCCCCAAGGATCAGTCTTTGGCCTTCTACTTTTCTTTGTGGACTGCCAAATGCATTGAGGAGTCAGATTATACCTATTGTTATAATAGTAATCCTGTAACGCAGACTGGAAGCCTTTAGAGGGGTATAGATGCCATGAAACAGTGGACAACCACTTGGTAAATACCAAAGTGTTGAATTCGCCACCTGGGCAAAGACAATCATAGGATGCAATACTTTATTGGGTATACCCAAGTAATTGTGTTGCTGAACAAAATGATTTGGGTACTGTTGCCACTGAAGACATGAAGTGGGAAAACCATATCAATGACATTATAAGGAATTCAAACTCCATCATGTACCGGATTTCCAAGGCATTTAAAGATCCCAAACCTCTCTACACCTGATAAGAGACGAATATAATAAGTACACACTACAAGTGCACACTGAAAGAAGGATTTAGTTATAATAACCTAAAATTAGTGACTATAACTAAATCGCTTATTGAAATATGGCTTA